TTTCTAATACAACAGAGAAATGATTTCTTTCGATTTTCTAAGCACAATACATGATTTACATTGATGCAACATTACCCACTGCTACTTTATCATATATCAACTATAACAACACATAAGGAAGCTGAATTTCTAGGAATCAAATTAAAATAACCACTGCTTTACCTTGATGTTAGTAGATATAGCAGTGCGTTGAAGAACCCGTCCCATCTGCTCAGCTATAGACATGAACCGATTTGAGAAAATGGAAAGTCGTATTGGATCCATCTAAATCGCGATTATTGTCCACTGCATGCTAATCAAGAAAGCGAAGTGAAAGCGCAGCAATGGCAATGCCACTTCAGACACTATCAAGGATGTGAAATGAACTGAAAGCTTTGATCAACCAACATTCTATCAAGAGATGTCCCTCCATTTTTGGTATTCATGGGGCTGCGCGGTAAGGTGGGTGTCAGACTCCAAGCTTAGATCGCATAATTGCGAAAGAAAACGCGGAGTCTGATACCCACTTAAGGATTTTCATTACTATTATGTTATACATGGTATACAAGTATGCACGTTGCAGCGATAGCATAGAATGATCGTTCCAAAAAAATTCTGCAGGAATGAGGGTAACCTCTTCATTATTTTTCATGTTGCTATGTATGTGAACTCAACTTGGTTGTGATGTTTTCTTCACGTTTGCTAGCAACATTCAGTCGAATGCTTCCGTCTTGTGTAATGGTGGCCGAACACAACGGTTCCACAACAATTGTGCTGCAAAATCGGATTTGGCCAAACATGGCACTTATGTCAACGAAAACAATGGTACCTGTTTTTGTCAATAATCATTGCTGGACCCTTGATTTGATGTCCGCCTAGCAGATTTGATATGTCGTAGACGGCAGTTTCTTGAAAACCACCCTTAAACAATTTTCTTTGTGGTATTATTAAAACTCACACAGGAAAATTGCATTTTACTTCAAAAAAGGTCCTCGTATGAGCCATTGGCACAGCACTATCCGGATCAGAAGTCATCGCAATATGCTCCTTGCACTTAATTCCAGAAGAGGCTACTCCACGAACTCTAAACTAACCATTACTCAGATGCACATGTACTGAGTCATACCCCTCAAATTTGCTACCAACCGAATGTCATCTACGATAATATCACGATCTTCCAGCACAAAGCCAAACTCTCGCTTATAATTGACGTAGAAGGTCTTCACAAAGTTGTTCAACGTTTTTGGATTCTGAAATACAAATTTGAAGGGCGAAAACGAACTGGAGAAATGTCGAAATCACCTGCGAATTGTATTCAGCACTGATCATTATGGCACAATCTGTTTTAGCAAAACGCATATGCAGGAAGTGTTCACAATGAACTTCTCTGAAACCCTGTTCCTTGAGATCATTAGTAGCCTTTTCCGAAAGTGCAGTTAGTCGTTCGGCGAACAAGGGTGTAGTTTCTGAACGCCAAAGTGAGAAGTATGAACGAGGCTTGCTTCTTCGACATAAGAAGCAAACCTACCGGGCGAGAACACGAGGTTTACGGGTTCCTGCACCTCGCTCACCACTCTAGCTAATGCAATTCCATAGGCGGACAGGAGACTCGCATATTTATGAATGAGAACAGTACTGATTCCTAAACACCACACTTCCAATTCGATTTTTTCTTATCAGTCATTATATAATGTCATAAGTCACACAAAAGAAAAAGTAACTAGTGCTAGAGCCATATGAAAATGCTGTTTATCAGTTTAGAAAGTCGAATTACCAAGATCCTGGGCGACAGCACAGGCATGTTGTCCGCCGGCTCCTCCAAAACAAGCTAATATGTGTGCTGACGTATCATAGCCTCGAGCCTGAAAATTACCCAACTTGTTAGAATTGACTAAATCTCTGCTGCTAGCACGGGAAAATCAAAGTAGGAGAGTGAAGTGAAGCGCGAGTGAACAAAAAGGAATAGTCGAAACATTAATAGTAAAGGACTATTCATTTACGGGTTGACGTGCATCACGAGGCATCGGAGAGAAGGGTGCCGAAGTGCCATGAGAGCCAACGCGGAGTGACAAAAAGGCGATAGCAGTGCTACGCGACAGATTCAATTCTTCGCAGAAGACTGCCGCTCCTGGTAAGAGCAGCTGTCAGCAGCGGTCATCACAAGGCTTGACCATGGTAAAATTAACTGTGATTACGGAAAAAATTCTGGTCAGATTTTTCTTCACAACGTCTAACCGGCAATCAAACCTGTGTGATAGCTCTGATTGGACGACACATTTCTTCATTGGCAACTTTTACAAAACCCAAGGCAGCCTAAAATCGGAACATTTTTGTATTACTTCGTTAGAAAGACCATAACACACCTCCTCAACCGAGTACTCCTTTTGTATAGCATCTGGGTTCCTCTTAATGTGCTCATTGATTTGTTCAGTGAGCTCTTTCATAGCAGAGTAAGTAGCTTCACTAAATAAAAAGAAATAATGAATCCAGAAGACTTAACACACTATGCACTATACCTTAACAAATAACTCGTATATCAATGAGGAAAATAAAATATTATATCTAAGAGCCCAAGACGAAAGATCGCAAAAATTTCACAAACCTATCCAAAGGCTGATCTGAGTTTGGCCAAAGATCTTGGGAAAGAACTCAGGCATGATTCGCCCCAGAACAAGATTTGCGTCAGTTATCGCAAGACTCCTGAAGGAATAGAAATTTGATTCTAAATTGAAATTTTCTAAAAGACCACCGCTAGACGAGTGTAAGTTTGACGTCCTAAACACAATAGATGCCAGTTGCGATTGAATCGGCTAAGCTTTTTACGAGCAAAGGAGGAATGATCGCCAAAGATACCGACCCTCCTTTGCGGTAACAAACTGGTCCAGGATGAGCACCGACACTTTCCGGACCAACCACAAAGATTCCCGTTGTCGAAGAACAGCCTTGATCCCGGTCCGCCAGCTGCAACGGTATTGATGTCCAACTGTAATGATAAGCTTTTCTCCAATCTTCAAACCTCTAACAATTGACTAGGAAAATCAAGCTGTAGTTTATACCCCTAGAAGAGTTAACTTTACATATACATCATAAATAAGGCTAACAATTTCAGGATTTTTTTGCAACCCGAGAAGGGCACAAAAGGAATGATCTTGGATTGCCACACCATTAGATAACAACATCTCTCCGTGTAGTAAACAATACCCTTTTTCGAGCAAACCTGTGTGGCTTGGATGTCAACCCAACCGTGGCGGGTCGTCCATTAGTGTTCTTAGATGCTCCAGAAACCGGAGAGAACCTAAACGAAAATAATTCATATTCTCTCATGGACCATCTCATGTATTCACACGATGATTGAAATTAAGTCAAAAACTCCAGTCACCATCGATGGCGACTGCGCGCTATTTTCCTTGTACCGTACCCTTAAGAATAATTTCTACAGGACAATTGGTCAGAATGTAGCTGAAAACGCTAAAAGATCTTAAACAAGCTGTGCATGTCAGTTTCAAAATCGTATTTGTTTTTGTTTCTGTTTGATATGTGAACCATGCTGGTGGTTTAAAAGTATGTAAGGTTCCAAGTAGAACTGAAAGTAGAAGATTTTTCAGCACTTACATCAGTAGAAGTACCTCCCATATCAAATCCAATCACAGGACTTTTGGTTTGTTTTGTTCATAAGCAGTAAGAGCCACACCGATTACACACCAGCAGGTCCCGATGATGGCTTCCCCCACAGAACCTGCAAACAAGCCATTACGCAGGTATATAAATGTCATTGAATCGGTGAGCTTATTTGAAGCTCCGAGAACCTGCTTACTTCTTAACACTGCAAAGACCACCATCCGACTGCATGAAATCAACTCTCACACTATCAAGTCCCATCAGAGAAGCCAGACTCAAATCCGTCGATGTATTCCCTGATCTTCGGTGTCAAGTAGGCATCAGCACATACTGTAAACTCAACTATAATATTTATGTATGGAAAACAGTAAGCAAGCAAGCAGTGACTTGAGCGCAAATATCACGCATAAACAACTTAAGGGCCAAAAGCAGGAAGTTTGCTGGTCCATAGCATCAGCTAGCTGCCTGCAGTGCCTTCGCAATATGCATCCACAAGAATTGGTCACAAAAAATGCCATCATAAATTCGAGCTTTCGGTTTTAGAAATACTACTTGGGATGGTAAGAAAGTCCTGAGCCGATTTTTCGAAAGCTCCAGAACTTTCGCTTATTGATCGATACCTAGAATCTGCTACGTGATAGATTATCGCTGTCGATCATACTTCTCCGCAGTAGGTATATATAGCCGGGTTGCCTTCTTTAACTTTAATCATGATGTCGATTCCACAAGAGCACTTTCGAGCGATCATCTTCAATGAATGGCGCTGCGGCACAGGAGCAGTGGAAACCGTCAACATTATCAGCATCGCACTGGGAAGGGACACCACTTCCATCATCGGTGCCAAGCTCTGGTTCGCAGGCTTCGAAGGAGGAGACATGGCTTCCGAAGACAAGACAAGGTTGGGAAGCCCCCAAACAGTGGAAACTCCACCGTTCTCGGCGCTGTCGAAGAGGATCCGGAGGTTAGCACCTGCAGCCTTGTGACAAGACTCGGGTGCACCCATCCCACAGTCCTCGGTCCCTCCACGCCCTCGTCCACAGGAAAAGTGCTGACTCGATGGATCCCTCATGTCTTGACCGATAGCACGCGGTTCAATCGGGTACCCATTTCTCAGTTTCTCTTTCTTTGTCCGCACCGAAAGGCGTTTCTGGAAGGCTCGATAACGGGAGGTGAGAGTGGGGCCCTCTGCGATTCTGACAAGCACAGTGCCGTGTGGCTGCCTCGAGGAGAAGACCCGCCGACGCAAGCAAAATCGGACCTTCACCCCAAAGCTTTCTTCTTTGCTACCTCTGCGATTCGTGAGGAATGTTGTATTATGAGATGCTCCCGCAAAGACATACCGCTACCGGCAGCATTTACGCCAGTCAGCTCCAGAAACTAGCGGACGCTGTTCAAGAAAAACGACCGAGACGAACTTCTGTCCACCTACTCCACGATGACGCCAGGCCCCACATAGCTAAAGAGACCCGTGCAAAATTGGAAGAGCTGATCTGGGACGCGGTTCCCCACCCATCCTATTCCCCTGACATTGCCCTCTCTGATTATCACTTATTTCATCCCCTTAAGGCATTCCTAGCGAAGAAAAAAATTCACCAAAGTTGAAGACGTTGAAAGAGCGGTCAGCGATTTCTTTGACTCTCAGTCTGCTCAGTTCTGGGAGAAGGGGTCGCTGACCTGCCCATTAGGTGGGACTCTGTAGTGAGTAACAATGGTGATTATATTGTTGAGTAAATTCCATTGTACGCGGAATAAAAAAGTAAAGCAAAAAAAGTGTCAAACGGCTCAGGACTTTCTTACCATCCTAATAGTAAGAAAAGAGCGATCCGAGCCTGTTCGAGCAATGCCTTGTTCTATGTAGGCGTATTTGAACGCAATTGCCTCCGCATGATGTCAGACCCAACGAACGACGTCGGATCACGTAGAGCGGCCGTGTAGCGCTGAGACGACTGCGGTCTCACGTTCATATATCATTAGTTATCGTTCACATCATATCATTAGTTCGTATCGTTTAGTGTCAGCAATCAAGGCAAAACAAGCAAAGCTTGAAAAATCACCTGTGAAACCTCTAGGGACAATTTTAATCATTGGCATCACCTCATGGGAGAGAGAAACGTTTCTGAGACCCAACTCGTGAGCAATCTCCTTCACCTTCAGCTCGTGAGCAGGATAGCTGGAAACGCCATGAAGTTTACGAAGTCCGAAAATCAAATGAAAAGGTATAACACGCATACATGAAAGAGTGGAGGAAGGCTACCGCAACACTCTTGATTCCATGTGACATGATAGCTTTCAGAAGCGCTCTGACTTCATCTTCATTAGGTTCTTTTTCCACAATCACCTGGAAGAGATAAAAATCATTCTGATATACCCTTCTTCAGTCATCCACGCTCCCAAAATGCTAATCTAATCCCTGACTGCCAATAGACCTGCAGGACGACACGTAACCAAAGTGGCCGCGGCTCAAAGACGGAAAGAACTCGTCAAGCACCCGTAGTGCCGTAGTAGCGTTGTCCACCAAATCGAGGGGTCACGTCCCTCGATTGGTAGTTTTCAAGAGACTTCTTGCAATTCATAACCACAATTGAATGGGTGCTGGCAATGAAAAATGAGCGTTATTGCCAAACTTGATGTTATATCAAAAATTCAGGACTATCCTTATCACCAGCTTCTTTGCACACTTTTCGTACATTTCCTATAATTAATCGTAAAAGATACGGTTTTGCGGTTGCTTCGCACTTCCTTCACTACTGATTGAAATTAGTACGCCCATATTGGTACTTGAGTGTCTTAACCAACACTTTGCTCACAATAGAAAATGACTTTTAGCGAATGTAGTGATATGAACAAAAGTTGGCGTTTATAGCTTCTGCGCGACTAATGTTGTAAACTTTGGTCTGGTCGAGTCCTGCAGCCACAATGCAAAGAAGAAATTGCGCATTCGCGCGTACTGGTGGAGGGAACTTGTGTGTGATCTGATAACAGAACCTGGGTCTAGTACCTGGTGCTGTTTCAGCGCTGTGATCGCAATTCCATGGTCTTCCAATGATACAACTTTGTAAGGTGCATAAAGATGACAGAAAAGGCGAGCGCTAGATCATCTGTTCGAAAACCCCGATGGCAACCTTACGACAATTATAGATAGTTTTTCTGTCCGCGGTTTGCGGCGACCGTGAACGGGAAATAAACTGGCCTTTAACAGCCGACGGCTGACATCGTATACTAGTAGTTCATAATAACTACGTATAAAAAAGAATTGCTCACAGAAATAAAGTTATCAATCACGCCGATTACACCTATTGCGTTCTGGCCAATCCGCTTTGTACATGTACTGCGCTTAATACGATATTTTATAACTAACCTAGTCACAGCTTTTCAGAGAAAAACAAACCTTTTTCCCGAAAAACGTCTCCTCCACACGTCCAATGTTACCCAGTTCACAGCTGTCGTCAGATGGAATCACTCGCTCATCCACCTCCACCACCTCCTCATAGAGAACCTAGATCATTTCTTGAAGGCGTATCATCTCAACAAATCTAAGTGACTAGGAACTGACGGGAAGGCAACATACCCCTGGGATTTTTATGTCGAAATCAAAAATTCTTGGACGGGTTTGGTTGCCGATGTACAAGAGATCTTTGAATCCTTTCGTAATCAGCAATGCTATGCGTTCGCCTTTTCGTTCGAGCAACGCATTCGTCGCAACAGTTGTGCCCATACGAATCCATGAAATGTTATCTGGAAGCCAAGAAATAAAATATAATAATAATGACAGTTTCAGAATAATGCACATTCAACCAATTTTGCGCTTTTGCTGATGTGGCAATGAGTTGCGCCCTTCTTACCAGCAGAGAAAATGCATTTGTATCAGCCGGTGAGTTCACATATTCTTACCCACATTGAAGATTTATCTTGGTATTATAATTCCAAAGGGCGGAAGTGGTGTAGTGACAAGTGGCGCTTACCACGCGAGCGGTCCGGGGATCAAATCCTGGGTCGTGAGTCGCCCGGGCCAACCAAGCCTTCCATCCCTCCGGGGTCGGTTAATTGGTACCAGACTTGTCTGGGAGGATAAAAAACACTGACTTGTACATCGGCTGGCCCCCGCAAGTCATTGTATAGGCCACATCGCATTCAAATGCCACTGCGAATGTACAAATGGAAGTAGAATGCGTGCCGCATCCCAAAAGGGATTGATCAACGGCAAATGCTTTATCCTTTATCTTTTATTTATTTTCAAAACCGGCCTATTATTCACAAACCCCACCCATCGGATCCCGCGACAGCACCGACCAAGATTGTCATCACCGCGTCCTAAGTAGGAGGGTCGCAGACAAGATTACACATACAAGCTGAGCCGCAGAGAATGAGTGGCATCTTCGCCTGCATCCTGAACCCAAACGGAATGGTGACGAGAACTATAAACAGATTTTAAAATTCGATCGCATTCCAAGCAGCTACTACGAAAAACAACTCGCCTTCCGCGAAGTTTTCTGCGATAGCTTCCAATATGATTCACTATCTTTCAAGTAGAGCCCCACCACAAAAGATTTCATTGTTCCAGCCAACGAACACCTTCTACTCACCAGCTGGAACTGGACTTCCTCTGGGAATGGGAACACCGGTTTCTTGCTCCAAAACTTGTCGTATTGCTTCCGTGGGAGCATCAGCATAGTTTGCTGGATCTTCTGACAGCACCTGGAAGATTTCGATAGTTGGCAACCTGTCAAGTTTCCTACTTAGGTACATCTCGTTCCGCTGTGTGACACACCTCCAGGTTCTTTCGTCATTCAAAAAAGAGGCGGTATCATAAGCCCGCGAACAAAGCATTTGGGTGAGAAGAAATACCAAGAGTCGGAATGCCCACCCGACTCACATAGCATCACACATCTCTTTTAATTAGCCTTTTCATTTTTTTTTCCACGCCCTTGGCGACCTGGCAATTAGCCGAGTACTAGCTACTTGTTTGCGTAGTTTCATTTCATTTTCACCGTCATCACAAAGCCCCATATCTTGAGATAGGTCCGAAAAGGTCCTCGGTAAAAACGCATCGTAGTGCAGTAAACGCCCCTACCCCAAAATCACGACTATTATTGCAGCTATTGGATAGTCGAATCAAGCGCAGAAACACACCCATCCGGGTTAGGTACTTTTATGACAGTCCTTTAGCTTTAGATATCAACTCATCCTTAAGAAGAGAAAAATTCGCACCTTGAGCACTCGTGTGGTGCCGTCCGGTCTGAAAACGCAGACGTCGGTGAATGTGCCGCCACGATCGATGGCAAAACCGAAACCCGTCATTCGTGGTTGTTTTCGAGAGGGTTAGTAGGTGAGACGAGGAATGGAAAATGGTCAGCGGACGGCAGCAGGGTCAGCGATACGTGGCCGCTTGCCGTCTCGTGGCCAACGTCAGCGATCAAATAAGCGCCGAGAACAGAAATGATATCAGACCAGAAGAATAAAGATCATCTCGTTGTCTTTCCATGTGACGGTTTTCTTCCAAACCCATGACAAACATTCCAGACCTCGAACGCTTATAAGACCCTCTCTCACTTAGGAAGTTTTTAGTTTGAATGTTGAGACTGTGTGAATTTATTGCATAAGTTGTGCTCCATACTGGTTGCTAACAATGAATGAGTGACAAGAACTGGTAGAGACGTGCGCAAGTTTGTTCTCCGCTGGTGTTTTTAGCTTCCGGGCCTACCTAGCCCTAGAGCCCACTACCAGCAGTCCTCTTACATGCCAGAAGTTGTTCGACAGTGAAACAAGCTGATTCTGTAAATACCATAGTTATAATAGTGACAGTCGATATATCTAAGCTTAGTTGGGGTCATCCGCGCCGGCGTGCCCCCCCCCCAACTAAGTAGCAACCGAAAGCATCTAACTTGTGAAGGCGTCGTCATTGTGGCGCATGGTCTGCACCCGACACTCTCGCTTTTTGAAGGGGACGGTATGTATGGTCGATACCCGTTCGAAAGTTGGGGTGGGTGTGTCACCAGAAGTGACGTGCACTTGATAGAAGTGCGTGGATAAGCTGTTGCCAGCATGCTTTGCTGATAGCCAGCGATGTATGTTGGAAGCAGCTTATCCACATAGTTTCTATCAAGTGCACGTCACTTCCGGTGACACGCCCACCCCAACTCACCGATATCGAGTAATATATGCCCTGCAAAATCTAGAAGAGCGTCGACTGCAGACTAATACCGCACAAATACGGCAGTTTCTGTTAGCTAGCTGGTCATAGTTATACCTGATTTTGGTGATAATAGTATAATTAGTGACAACTAATAGAATACAACTGCAACAGGCTAATCATTTCATTGGCAGAAAACATTTACATTTTGTGGAGGCCGTCGTCACTTGTGGTGTATGGTCTGCACCCGACGCTCTTCTCGTTTTTTTGAAGGGAGGGTATATTTGGTGGCCTTAAGCCACTTCTTTCGGCAAATACGAATAGATTTCCCGCAAGATCTCATTACTCACAGATCTAGCCCTTCAAAGGCCTATCGTAATTCGCACGTGAAAGCTCTAGCAGATATTAATCTTGGCTGTTTTGGTTTGTTTCAAACAACGAAAACAATCAAAAACAGGTCTACAAGCTGTGTATTCCATCTACCATGACGCACCCTCCCTCTCTGCAAAATTTTGAAATAAATGAATAAATACCTCCCACCATATCGGGAATCCAGATCACAAGTACGATCCCCGTTGGAGAAACCCTAGCTAACAGTGACCTGGAGTGGGAGCACTGTGGCTTTCAATAAGTTGTAAATTCTTTTCGGATTGCTTGGAGCTACCTTCTATTTCACATCCTTTATCCTTATTTATTGTTAAATCCATTTACCTCGCCTTCAAATGACCAGAAATTGTGCAATTGCAGAAATTGACGTGGCATTAAGCCACGTGGCACACGTGGCTAAATTCTCGATGAAAAGGTGACATCACGTGTGCTCAAAGATGTTCTTGAATCGATGCCACGTTAATGCCACGTCAATTTCTGCAATTGCACAATTTCTGGTCATTTGAAGGCGAGGGTATGTATAATTAACTGGCTCCGACCAATTGCAGTGCTTCGCATTCATGTACGTGTGGATTATCTCCTTACCGCATCACTCAAAGAATTGTATTGGCTCACATAAGCATGTCAAATCGATAAATTCGTAATAACTTCGTATAGCATACATTGGTGACGTCATGTTCGAGAACCTTTAAATCAGGACGACTCTCCTGTGGGGTCCCTCACACCTTCAATTCAGTTCCCATCACCACGCCCAGCCACCCACCCTCTTCCCGCTCCTCCCACAACATTCAACTCTCGACGGTGTCCAGAGTGTCATTGAACCTGCTAACACCTGACAGACCCGACGAGGAAGGGGAGGAGGAAGGAAGGGTTATGTGTAGAGTTAACTGTAGCAATGAAACAGCCATCCCTCCACATTTTCGTCATTTCACAACTTTTTCGTAAAAAGTCTTCACCTAACCCAAAGGATGATTCACCCTTCCGACATTTCAAAAGGATCTCTGAGTTTCAAGTGTCATGCTCGCGACAAGGAGCTGTTGTCAGTGGCACTTCCTGCCAGTGATAACGGCGGCAACTGTTCGTTCGCGTCCCCTTTCATGACGTCAAGCCACCCGCTTTGCTTCACATTTTTCATTTTCTCACTGCAGGCTCGTCTAACTGCAAACTTTTCACATCGTTACTCAGGCATGCAATAGCCGATTCGTTTGAGTGCAGTCAGGCGAAGTGTAGGCATTTTTCTCCAAAATCGACGTGACTTTCGGAGCGAGCCTTTGGCTTCATTGAATTTGCAGCACCTTACTCAACCGCGTTTCCGTAATATGGAAATTTGCAATCTTTGACTTGCGCTGCATCCCAACATATTTGCGGCTTTATGAAGGAAATATTCCAGCAGGGATGTACTGGTCGAGAAAAACTTTAGGATTAGCAGATCCATGAAATCGAATCCCATTCAGCGCTACATATTAGGCGTTCCTTCTGAATCAGTTGGGTGGCTAGGGAATTATACTAAATAGTAATAAAAAAGAGTACTAATAAAAATAAGTACTATTCCATAGCACCCAACTGATCGGAACGAGAGCCTAATATGTAGAGCTGATGGGATTCGGTTTCATAGATCCGTGAAACCTAAAGTTTTTTTCTCGGTCAGTACATCCCCTGATGAACTATTTTCTGGCTCTGGCTCGGCTGGGTAGTGTGTGAAAGGCTGGAGCAGGATGCTAGGACGTTGAGGAAATAATCCGGTAAACAATGGAACCTTTCAGAAAGGCGAAATGGGTCTCTTTACTACTCACCCAAGCTAAGCACTCCTCAGGGCACGGCCCACCTTGATCTGGGTACATTTATGAATGCTATCAAGATGGTGAAAAGGGAAACTCTTAATGTCAATTAAATGTTGAGTGTGGTTATTGGCAGTTTTAGACAATTCAATTAGTATTTCCATAGCATTTTTGACCATATAAACGCCATTAAAAAGATCCCGTTCACAAACCTGACATTTTTGGCTGATTTTTCGAAATGTTACCACAAGCAATAATGGCAAAATGTTTCCAGAACTGAACTACCCAAAAGGTTTATTCTTTCAGTTTAATGATAATTTTTTCAAAATTCCACATATTTTAACGCTTCAGCAAACAATAAAATCATACCGTATTATCATGGAATGAAACTATAACTTCTATTAATAAAAAAATAAAAAAAAAAAAAAAAAAAAAAAAAAAAAAAAAAAAAAAAAAAAAAAAAAAAAAAAAAAAAAAAAAAAAAAAAAAAAAAAAAAAAAAAAAAAAAAAAAAAAAAAAAAAAAAAAAAAAAAAAAAAAAAAAAAAAAAAAAAAAAAAAAAAAAAAAAGAGCCAGAAGTTTCAAAAAAATCTCTTTGGTAAAAAAAAAAAACAAACCAC